TAACTATATTGAAGATTTGTTTAATTATTTGTAGGAGCATTCATTCACGTTTGACCACAGTTACTTTTGGGATGCAAAAACAGTAAGTTTTAGAATTTCTTTCATTTGTACATGTACAATAGGGCAGTACGTACTAGATCTAAACAAACTAAACCAAGGGTGACATACAGAGCATATTACATGCGTTGGCTCAGCTAAAAGGGATTTTGTCTGTTACTGTTTGATTATCTCACAAGTGAGAGAAGCAGTTAGTTAGACAACAATTGAATACCAGAGCATAAAATGTTTCTCTTCAAATGCCCAAGGTAATGTACACTCTGAGAATAAATCCAGAAATTCAGAAATATTTATACTAATACAAGAAATATGAAATGACATGACTTGTGTGAACATATGCGTTTTGTTGACATAAAAGAAATGCTTTCGAGTTAATTGTTTAAATTGTTGTACATGTGTCAGTTTTGCAAAATTTGATCTCATATCTATGCATACTAGGAGCAACTTTAYCATGATCTTGGAACACCTCTTCTTAGAAGTGCATTGAATGGTTACAATGTCACGTTACTGGCTTATGGCCAGGTAAGTCTTACATAATATTTATTTGATTTATTTGATTTGAGAAGAAAATAGAGTAAAAATACAACTACAATACAAACAAAATCATTTCCAAACAAAAGACAGAGCAGAGAAAATTCAAATTTGTAGGGCATATATTAAATTATTTAAAATATGCCCTACAAATTTGAATTTTCTTTGCTTTGAGAGCAAGCCTGTATTTCCCGAAAGACCTGTAAATGCAGGCTTAGCCTCAAATCTGGGAAAATTAAAATAAGATCTATAGCTATTGTAGTGTCAAAATTTTAAAATCCTCTTTACTTTCTTTTGTGGTCTTTGTGCAAGAGAGTCTATGGTTGTAAAAAAAAAACAAAAAAGCAATGCTCTCAATTGCTGTGAACAGGAAGCAGGCATATTATATAATGGACATTGGACAATTGTATCAGGTGGTTTGTTTTAACATTTTTACAGATTGGTACTGGTAAAACATTTAGCATTAAGGGATCAGAGGAAGAGCCTGGTATTGCTCCATTGGTAAGTTGACATCGTTAATAATATTCTAAACATAGCTGAATCTCCACTTATAGACGGTCTCGTAATATAAGAAGACATCTCTAGTTATGGAAACCATCCAAAAAAACCTTTTTTCCCCTAATTCTATACAACATAGGCAGACAGCTGTACAAAAAGACACTTTTTCCATTTCTCAAGGGTGTCTGCTCACAAGTCACTTCGTTTAAACAAACATTCATTTTGTGGATGGCACTGAAAAGAACACATGTATTTCACCTGATGTATTGATATTGAGCACTTCAGTACCAGTAAACTTTTTTTATTTGCAGCTCAACCAAGATTTGTTCAAACACATTGATGAAGCTCCCCCAAACAAAAAGTTCTTTGTTACTGTTTCATATTATGAGGTATTTAATGTTCATCACATTATTGTACTGATTGTCTAAACGATTTTTATCCTCTGAGGCTTTAGAACGGAGGAATGGGGAGGTTGAGACCGGCAATATTTCTGTAAATAAGAATATTTGTCAACATTAAATAAAAAATTGATATAAAAATAATTTATGAATTTAGATATACCAGGAGTCCATCAAYGATCTTCTGAATCCAAGTGGTTATGAACTGAGAGTGAGACAGCAT